AAATGATCACTGTCACACAGCAGGATTACACGGAGGGAAAAGAGCATCATTAGATGCGCCACTAGCTGTATCCATTGGGCCGCCAGACGAGAGCGCGCCCAGAGGGAGAGTCCAAGTACAGATACCTTGGAAAGATATCACACGACCACCAAGGTCGTTCGCACAGGCCTGGCATCGAGACCGAGCTCTGAGACAAAGGCTGGAATCGTCACCCGAAAAATTGCAGATGTTCCGTACTCAGGTCGATCAACTTGTTCAGCAGGGATTTGCCGAAGAACTCCCGAAGGATTTGCCAAGATATCCACCAGATGAGTCTGATCCTGCACTACAGGATCGTCACTACATCTCTCTAGTCCCGGTGTACTCCGCCACACGACATACCAAATGCCGTCTCTGTCTAGACGCACGTACGTGCAATACGTACACTAGGCCGGGATGGCACAACCCTCAAGCTCTGCTACAAGCTTTCGTTGGCTGGAGAGCCTACGTTTGGGTCGGTCTTTTCGACCTCTCCAAAGCGTTTTGGAGGATTAATATAGTACCACAGGATAGGAAATGGACTTGCTGTGTCGCAGATTCTCGGAGGCTGAGATTCACAGCCCTCCCGTTCGGGTTCAACTTCTCCCCATGTACATTACTTGAGGGAGAAGATCTCGTTAAGGAAGAAATTGATAAGCTCATCCGCGTAGGACACGAAACCTCTCTTCTGGGTACTGATGGCCCTACTACCCTAGAATCCGAACCAGATGACACTAAGGAGGTGAGCGAGCCGGATTCGAGCTCTACTATCGTCGACATTGAGATCGACGTCAATCATGAGACTCCTGAACCATCTCGTTCGAAGTCACTGAGATGTAAATTCTACGTAGATGATGGCCAAGTACGTGAAAATCACAGCCCATCGGCCGGTGCCAAGAAGCTTATGTGGGCCCGATGGGGCTTTGCTCAATACGGATTCCCCTCGGAAGGGGTGAAAACATCCGGGAACTTCCACGTCAGTAGAGAGGTTATTGCTGGATTGTGGGAGGGTCAGCGACGAGCTAAGGCCTTAGATCAGCTTCGGAAGGCCGATCAACACTCATGGAAATCCTTCTTAGGGTACCTCTGGGATCCTGAGGTGGATGCCATAGCCCAGGTCTTCCCGGAATTACAGAGCAATGAGCAGATTGCTCTCAGTGAAGGTCAGTGTCTCTCTCGCAGAGAAGTCATATCCATCGTTCAGCGATGGCACGACCCATTAGGATTATTCAATGAGGTCGGAGGGTTCAGCAAATGTCTTATCAGAATGTCAGTGCAAAATACAAAGGACTGGGATAACCTTGTCCAAGAAACGACAATGAACGAACTCAGACAATGGGTACTCGCAATGCA